AAAATAAACCCTTGCGTTCCGTCCTTGGGGAGAGCAGGTCCTCTGTCTGCGTCCTTATCCCCTCTCCTTTTCTGAAGACGGCAACTCAATTTTCCTTTGAGGATGTAAACCTTCCCATTCTCATGCAATCTTGATAATAACCACAATCGGGATGCCCAGAATGTTCTGGATAAGAGACTGTCACATATATCCAGAGAGGAAAAAAAAACTTTAAGAAATCGCAACTAGAGAGCCACAAGGAAAGAAAAGAGAGGAGATTCGTTCCAGCTGCCCACTTCTGCAGGGACTCAGAGGTGGAGAGGAACCTTACTCCTTCTTTTCTGAAGACTGGCTGTTCGACTTTTCCTTTAATTCTGTGAGTTACACCTATTTATTTTAGTAAATTTCTGTATTCAGTTAATTGTGAACAATTTTTGTTGACTGCAAATAATATTAAGAGAACAGTACAGGAAAAATGAGTATTAGATCCCTAATCTCTCAACCCAATGCATAATTTTCTATGCTTTATACCAAAAAAGACTGAATTTTTGAATTCCTTATTAAGTTGACTTTCAATAAGCAGTTTAGATGTGGAAAATACCATGAGGGAAAAATAAGGAAAAATTAAATTGTCAACAAATTGTCTTTACCTGGAGTCTTCCAAAAAGTCCACTCAGAAGATCTTTGCTGAAAGTAGGGTTTCAATTCTAGACCAATATAATGAGATATGGAACTGGCTAAGTGACTTAAAGAAATTAGACATTTCCTATTTAATATTTCTTGAAATTATCTCTAAATAGTAAGTACAAGAGCCTCACAAAAACAAATTTAAAATTTATGTTTTCACCATACCTAAATGTTTCACTTTTTTTTCATTTTTAATGGTAGTTATGTTAATATGAGCAGAATTTTGAAATAGAGCACTTCTCACAAAATTGATTTCTGCTACTTTTTAAATTAGTTTTATTGCTAATAGTGTTTTTCTGTATGTTACTGGCTCACTACATTTACTATAAAATCAAGATATTCACAAATAATTTAAATTTCATATGCACAAATACATTTAAGTATATAGGCAGCTTAAAAAGTACACACCAAATTATTCAAATACCCCGAATGTATCCAGACTAGTCACGTTACACAATGTAATTTCTGATTCTATATTATCATTTTTATCTGAGGACATATAATACCGGAATGCCAATGAGCCCACAGATTAATATTATCCCAGAATCCTTGTACATAAATATAAATATATTCCTCGACTTGTTAGAGATGCTGAAAATGGTGCTTATTATTTTTTATTCGCTTGTCTTCATATCTGATCTTATTTGTAACATCATCATGTTTCAACTCTTGGCTATCTTTAGCATAGGGAATTTGGGTTTGCTGTGCTGCCTACAGAAATGAATGTTCTGATTTCATTATTTAGCAGGCTGGACTCTTAGGGTATAACTACATAAAACGTAAACACACTTTGCATAATTTTTTTGGCTTGTCCAAACCCTACCATCCCCCAACGCCCCACTTATGCTGTCACTCCTTCAAATGCAGCCTCATGGCTGGTTAACTCAGGGAGTTTATTAGTCATCTCACAATTTGCCACGTTCCAGACAGTGCTGGCAGTTTCCCTCCCTCCTATTGTTGAACTTCTGTGGGACCTTCTTACTTCATCCAGATCCTAAGTTCCTTGAGGTCAGAGAAAATGTTTTATTTATCTTTGCTCTCCTATCAGCATTTCCCTTGGAGTCTTGAACAAAGCCAGTTCTTCATAAATGTATGTGGAGTCCTTGAGTGGTCTGCCAGTGCTGCCCTGAGACAACAGCCCGGCACCCTCTAGACCCGAGGCTGCTCCTGCAGTTTGTACAATCTTAGATGAGGAACACACAAGGGAAGTTGAAAAGATAAAGCCTGATATTTAGTATTCAGGGCCAACATGCACATGAGATCATAGACAATGAATTAAAAAATAACAGGGGAGAGAAAAGTGTTTCTCCTCCGTTACCCACTTTCGTTTTACAAAGAAAACTTTTTTGTTATTGCTTCCAACCATGTAGTCTCAAAAATCATCTAATTTCCACCTTCGGCTTTGGTTGCAGTTTTAGTTTCAATATGAGAGAGGAGAAGAGCAGAGTGTACATAAAACGGGGGCCAAGGTTGGCCATCGGTGTGGGGGCAAAGTACAAAGAGGACATGACATGATGACACTATGTTCTGGGCCGTCGGGGGCTTCGCTTTGTTTCATGTTTACATGTACGTCTCATACACTTGTAAAACAGTCAAAAAGGCCACATTCTAATGGTGGTGTTACCGCCTCATCTCCTTTGGAGGAAAGGGGCAGTGCCTACAGAAGAACTTAGACAGTCTCTGGTTGTACTTTAGTAGAGTGGGTACACACTAAAAAGTTCTGTGCAAAGTAGGGATCATGTGGGAAGAGAACAAAAAACAAAGAAAAGACAAATACTGAATGTCCTCTCTTATGATGGGGCGCCAAGCTATGGGTTTGCATGTTCAGACAAAGTCACTTAATGGACTCTGAAGATTCGGAAAGGGGAGGGTGAGCGGGCACGCAGGGAGAAAGATTACCTATTGGGTCCAACATACACTTCCAGGTGATGGGTATGTAAAAAATGTAGACTTCTCCAACTAAGCAATTTAGCCATGTAACAACAACAATAAAAATAAATAAATAAATGAATAAATAAAACACATACTAAATATATAAATTTTTCCTGACAGCCCCAGTTCTTTGGAAAAAAAAAATAGAAAATGAAAACAGGTAGAATTATAATGGCGACCAGCTATTCTTTCTCTGATAAAGAGAACAGAGACCTTGACCTGCAAATTCGGGACTTTGGTCTTTGACCTACTCTATCCCTGTGCTTCAGAGAATAGCCCTTCACCTCCCTCTGATTCATGACACTGCCCACTTGGGCCTTCTCTTCCTCCTTGTTCCACAAATTATTACATAATACTATCTTTTTCAAGCAAAATATTATAAAAAAGTAAAAAAAAAATTTCTCTGAAAGGCTTCAGAATGACACACATGAAATAAGAACAAGATAAAACTACCAGTGCAGTCAATGAAAATTCTCTCAATGCCCTCATTTTATTTTATTCGTGTTTAGACAAGAGGTCTTGCGATGTTGCCCAAGTGAGCAGCAGCTATGCACAGGTGTGACCATCACACGCTGTGGTCTGGACCTCCTGGTATCCGGTGGTGCTCCTGCCTCAGCCACCTGAGTGGCCAGAATACAGGTGTGTGCTGCACTCGGCTCCTCACTCACTTTAGAACTGAAGTATAAGGTATTTTAAGGTGCTCTCTGTCTTTCTTCATATCTCCAACTTCATGAAAATATGTCTTTTTCCCTACTAAATTATTTTAGCATAGACGAGGTACCCTAAGTAGCTAATCTATGCCTATAATCGTGCCAGTGCTGATTGTTCATGGATGTAGAAGACTATTTTACTGAGAGACGAAATGCCATAACAAAACCTAATTCAAGTTTGCCTGAGTTAGTGAGACTGGATAGGAGAGTCTAAAGTCTAAATGTTCTAGTAAGGGAACATTTTTGATAATGAAGGTTGAGTTATTACAAGGGAGAAGAGGAGGCTTATTCTACCTGGCACATTTGTGGTTTATGGATATTCCAGTCTCCAGAAAAGCATAAGCTTACACATGGTTTATTATCACCACATTGCAAATAGCATAGTTAGCCCCGTATATCCTGAAAGGTTTGTATATATGGATAGCAAAATAGTAAGTATGATTGCATTTTAAAATAAAAATTATCCATAACATTTCTGTATTAGGTTCTTTTGATCCTAGGAAAATGAAAAGAAAAAGAAGGCACAACTTAACTATTTGTATAATTATTTTTTAAACATTAAAGTTTTAAATGTTTACATATACAAGGTGGTCAAATATTAAATTGCACATGGACTTTATGGTCATCCTATATATAGAAGAAATCAATATATTACTTTGGGAAGAAAGGAACATTACTGGCTTTTCTTAACTAAGAATGATTGTCTAAATTATAAATACTTTTCATGACCCTATGTAGCCAAAGTAAAGACTTAGCTCAAAAACATTTACCATTGTTAAAGTTCATTTAAATCTAAAGTCTATGGTTAGTTTATAAGTTGACTATAGGTGAATATAAAACAAATATTGCTATTTTTGCATTGTAAAATGCAAAATATTGCTATATTTTGCATTGATTACTTTGTAATCAAAATCAATTCTTCACATTGAAAACCAAAGCTTCTTATGAATTTAAATTAAGACATATACTACAATACACATTTCCCTTCAAGTATATTCTATGTGTAATAGTAACTCAGAAAAATAAGGATCACATTCACACATGAACACTTGCATACACACAAACAAACGTATAGATTTTGGATTACATATTATACATAAACTGCAAAATGGAGCGTTTGCATATTTTGAAATCCTTACATATCCTCCTTGTGTTAGTCCTAAAGATATTATTTGGTTTTAACAATGTGTCTGATCTAGTTACAAAACTACTAAAAGAATATTTTTTGTAGCCTTTATACATAAATGAAGTATTATTTTCTTTGGATAAGTGGAAACAATATATGGTCCAAGTAGACCAAATAAAAACTTGTTTAAAAGTTACTCTTTAACGGAAATGGTTGATGCAATTAGTTTTCTGACATGGGCATTGATCCTGCAGCCAGGACCCCCATCATTTCACTTGTGAACACGGTTTGTTTAATTGAATAGAAACGTCAGCTGTGGCTTGTGGGTAACAAGGGAAGCCCCACGATAAGGCTATGGAATAATGGCCTTGGATGCCCACCTTGCCTTAGTAAAGAGCCGCGTAGCTCCGATCCGGCTCCACTTCTGCTCCTGTGACCCGTGCTATGTGCATATAATGGGTTTTACGTGCCAAGAACAGAAAGCATCTTAACACGAAAACCGAGAGGTGAGTGAAGGCACACTGGCGTGAAGGAAGCTGCAGGAAAGGGCTGCAATGAGCTCTTACCTCACGGGGCTGTTGGAAGAATCGGGGTCATGGGCAGCCACGGTGCCGATGATATTCCCCACTTGGGTAGCTTCTGACACCTCCATGGGGTACAGGGGTGAGGAAAACACGGGGGGCTCGTCCACGTCTTCCACGATGATCTTCACGGTCGTGGTGTCGCTGAACGGCCCCAGGCTCAGGAAACGAGGGTCAGCGTCTTTATTCGCAGCTTCTATCCGTAGTGTGTAACTCGTTTTGGCTTCAAAATCCAGTTCCTGTAAAGAAAGTTATTAGGACGATTAAATTACCAATGAAGTAGTCAGCAAAGCAGAGCCTTTTCATTTGTGAACGTCAATAAGCACAGAGAGGACTCTGCCATGAACATGAACTGTCAGCATTCAAAATAATAAATAAGAGCGCCAGTCAGAATCCCGGCTGCTTCGGGGGCTCATAAACGAGGCTGAGTGCTTTGGAACGAACTTAATCCACCTGCTGCTCTCCGCTGCATGGACAGACATAGGAGGGTCTTTACGATATCATCACAAAGGAAATGGATCAAATTTTAAAAACGTTTCCAACAGAGACGTCACTATAATGTCCTTCAACCATATAATTTAGCTGTAGTACTTAAAGTGCATTTAAAAGGGAGAAAAACATAACTTTCCATTGAGTTTCTCACCTAAAAGTTCAGTGAATTTTGTGTGATGAATTGTCTTATTAAATATCGGAAGAGAATATTTTGACAATAAAATTTTAATGTTTATTAGTCTTTCTCATTAATGATTTCTATAAAAGTCACATATTAGATAAGTATTAAATTTAATTTTAGAGCTATACTTGAAAAATGTAAAAAAAACAGTTAGGGAAGAGGACACGGAAAAGGAAAAAAATCAAAGTAATAAATAGTAGTAAATAGATTCCTTTAATGTTTGAAACTACATATACCTGGAAACTACAAATAACTAGAAATGTAGACAAAACACCATTCACACCATAGTGAGGTTAATTGTGAGGAATGAGGTATGAGTTGTACGGACCCAACGCATGAAGGAATAGAGTCTTCCTGGGACCTTTTATAAAATGTTTTTACTCCCTTCAAGTGTTACCTACGTCAGAGATGTGGAAAGAGAGAAATAACCTCTCTCTTTGGTCTGTTTGGTCTATTACTTCCCAGATTACTGAATGTGTTCTCTAAATATATTGTCATTAAGGATGCTAAAATTACTTCCCAGATTACTGAGTGTGTTCTCTACATATATTGCCATTAAGGATGCTAAAATTTAGGAGAAAAAAATTATATAGCTAACGTGAGGGTGTGCACACTTTTCCTCTAATGCAGAGGATAGCAAATATTGGACTTGGCAAGACATACATTTTCTGTCACGTGTAACTAATGGTTGTTTGCAAATAATAATTTGTTGATAGGCACTGAAATTTAGATTTGCTATGAATTTTATGAATCATAACACATTCTTTTTATTTATTTTTCCAATCATTTAAAAACTATCCTTAGCTCATGGCTGGACTAGAACAGGCAGGTGACTGGCAAGCCCTGATCTAAGGAACCCAAAATGATGAACGCAAAATGATAAGAATGACATTCAAGGCCTTCTAGGAATGATGTCCAGCATGCTATGTCCAGTCCAGGACACAGCACCTGATGCTTCTTTCTCATACAACTTTATCTGCATTTCTCTTAGGGAAATATTTTAGAGACTATCAACTTCTTTGTGTTTCCCTTAATCCTCTTATCTATATAATAATAAAACGTCTTTATATTGACAGCTAACTGCAAACAAGGACACTATTTATATTATATTGTGTGTATTTATACAATATTTAACATTTATTTTTATAAGTACAAGATGAGTATTTGTCTTGGACCGAATATGTGTGTCCTTCCCAAAGTTTTTATGTTGAAATCCTAACTCCCTAGGGATATCACTCAAAGTGGGGAATATGGGTGACGTGATTAGATTTTGAGTGTGAAGTCCTCATGAACGTGATTTCCTCCCTATGAATGAGACCTCAGAGAGCTCCCTTTCCCCTTCTGCCATGGGAGGGAAAGTGAAAAGACAGCCGTCTGTGAACCAGGAGGAGAGCCCACACCAGGAACCAAATCTGCCTTCGTTTGGGAAAAATAAATGTTTGCTGTCTAAGCAGCTCGCGTTGGATATTTTTGTGACGGGCACCCAAGTAAACTAAGGTAGTTTATAAATTAATTGAAAACTAAATAGCAAACAGATCTAGAAGTCCAAAAATGTCCACATTTCAGGGCAGAGATGCAATGTGAACTTACGGCCGTGTATGTCCACCACCATTCCACTTCAGCTCCAACAAGCACACGTTCCTCACACCCTAAGGGAAACTAGGACCTCATAGTGTACGATATTATCACATCTAGATGCTTTTCTATATCATCAAGCTTATTGCGTTGTTGTAAATTATTTTAAAAAACGTAGCACCTCAAAGAGAGATGGACACAGAATAATCGCACCCTAGTATCTCCTGAGTTACTATTAAACTCTCATCGTTAGTTCCATTATTTCCTGATAGATTATGGACACCTGCTAAGCAGACAGTATGCCTTTCTCTTCTGTGTTTCCTCTTGGCACCAAGGCCTATGTCTTTGGCAAAGTTAGTTGATAACATTCGTTGTTGAATTAAAGAAAAGAATGACCATCACACACAGTGAAATCTCAGTAGCTCCCCCTTTTCAATATTAAAACCTAAGTTTAAAAATTTTGAATGTATTTAATAAAATCATTACACATGTTTTACCCTTTTCAATATTAAAACCTAAGTTTAAAAATCTTGAATGTACTTAATCAAATCATTGTACTTTTTTTTCAATATAGCTTTGCGTCTGGTCTGTAGCCAAATATAGTTTCATCATGTCCAATGACCTCTTTTTAGATTTTGTTTCTTGGACCAGTGTTGTAGTTAATGTTTCAGGAATCAATCCAAATTAAATCCTTCTGGATATTCTCCACTCTGTTCTTTCTAAGTATACCATGGTACCATCAGGACTGTTATGTGTGCGCATGCCTATATGTTCCAAGTCTTTGATTTGATGTTGGTTTTGTTCAAAAGCTGTATGACTGGCTTGGTGCCTATAGCACAGTGGTTATGGTGCCAGCCACATACACCGAGGGTGGTGAGTTCAAACCCAGTCTGGGCCAGCTAAACAACTGCAACAAAAAAAATAGCTGGGCCACGTGTTATGGTGGGCGTCTGTAGTCCCAGCTACTTGTGAGGCTGAGAGGCAACAGAATCACTTAAGCCCAGGAGGAGGAGGTTGCTGTGAGCTGTGACCCCTCCGCACTCTACTGAGGGCAACATAATGAGACTCTGTTTCAAAAAAAAGCCGTATGACTGTTCACCATTTTTAAAAGCATTTTTTCCTCAGGAGATTCTGGCTGCTTTTAGATCAAAGCACATTCTGCAGCTTTCAATATCCTGCCTATTTCTTGATCAAATAAATATAAATCTTACTCTTTTCCAAAGTAAATGAGCTTAAATGAGACCATACCTGTGGAGTAATAACCCTCATTATAACTTTCCCCTTATTATAATTTTACTCTCATCTATGACCGAGAACCTTAAAAGTGGCCTACAATCTTGGATAAGATATCACAGCAAGAATAACTCTATACATTTAAATATAAGGATAAGAATTTTAAAGTTATCCCCCAAGTATTTTCCAAAAGCAAAACACATCCTCTGTATTATTCACAACTGCATAACCCCCTTATCTGCTCATTTCCCTGGTCCTGACCAAGCAGCCCTTAACGTTTCCCCAACTTGAGTAAATTCAGGCGGTTTCTTCCTGACTCCAGGCCCCTGAACTCTCTTTTCTGGGAGCATTTGCTTTAGAGAACTAGAAAGTAGAAATCCTTTCTCTGCCCCTTTGAGATGTAAATCTTTTTAAAAGCCTCTTGGCATCTTTACAACTCGGGAATATTTTCCTCAAGGGCTCAGGAGCCCTCCCTTTGAAATGTAAACACCAGGGAACACAGAGCCTGCAGCCCTCACTGTCTGTGGGAGGACAGGAGCCCAACTTCAGCTGGAGCCTTGACCCAGGTTGTAAAACTATCTCTGTCAAAAAACACAAGAAAATGTAGTTTTCATTGATTAAAACAAATTATCCAACAGGTCGTCCACAGGCCCCGCCCCCATGCCAGCTCTTAAAATCTCTCCAGTTCTTTGCTTTAGCTGAGGTGGTTTCCCTCCCCTGGTATAATAATAAATGGTTCTGAATAAATCCTTCCTTACCTGTTTCGCTTCCTCTGGTGTAATTTGTGCTTGACGCCTGCAAGTGATTTCAGTAGCTATATTTATATTTAGTAGTCTTTGTCTTGAAATATTTTGTGAATCACAAAATCTATATCCAATTTTGGGTAAGAAATTATTTTTAATAGAGAAACCATAGGAAAAATAATATGAAAAGTAAGTCCCCTATTCCATTTCCATGCATCTCATTGATGCTCATTCACAGACATCTTCGGGTGGAGGGGAGGAAAACTCTGGAGGTCATGCGGGCTCTGGGTCCTCTCCAGGGAGACTGGCTCTTATCTAATGGTCTAACCGCACTAGACTTTGAGATTCGTCTAAGACCCCACATTTATTAAACTTACATACCTACAGTAGGTAGCAACTGTTTTGAATATAGTAGAGATTCATTGATTTATAGATGAAGAAAGAGTAAAGGAATCATCTGAAAAAAAAAACTAGCAATGTAAATTTAAGCGAATTTAGAATTAGCAGAAAAGATTCACAGGGTGCTTCCAAGTTCATGTTGGAGGTCTAGAACAGCCATGGCTTTAATTTTTCAAAATTATACTTTAATACAGCTATCAAGACAGTACCTAAGGAAGCATTCATATTTTGTAAAGAAACTGTTACCAGTAAAACAAGTACCAAGTGTACTGGAGGGAAATTGAAACAAAGATACTACGAATAATTGTAGGAATGGTTTGTGTCTAAAACGTTAGATGATGCCAAGATGTTAGGAATAAAATAGGATATAGATATCAGGAGGTCTTATTGACACCACCTAGCTACCCGTTTCCTCAAATTTTTAACCTAGATATAATGTACCAAGCCCTGCATATTAAAACAATTCAAATGTGTATCCTAACACACTATCTCTATTTGTAATGATGTTTTCTATATCTACGATCACCAAGTAAGCATGTAACACAGTTCAGAATCTTAGTAGGAGCTATCTACAAAGAGGCAGCATAAACTGCTGAATATATTTCTCATTATAATT